ATCCGAGGAGTGAAATTAAACCAGTCACTACCTTGTATTTCAAGATTTTCTCATACGTTTCTCCTCAAACTGGCGACGCAATATTTGCTCACGCTCTGCTTTCTTTGTGCCCTTGCTACGTACAGCACCTTAGACCCTACTCAAGAGGAATAAAGTGAAACAGGAGAACTTTATTAGGCCACTGTCAATCCTCATTAAGGCAAATAATAATAATAATAATACAAAACAACACAAGTTGTGATCCATCATTGCCTCAATGCCTGTCTAGCATCATCTGGATTATCGAAGTTCACGAAGCCGAAACCTCTCGAGGCCCCATTTTCATCCTTTGCAAAAGCCAGGCTAGCAATTTTCCAAACTCAGAAAATTTCACTGTCAGAAGTTCTTCCGTGACATCGATCCAAATTTAAGGTACAGATCGTATATTTAGCATCAGGGCTGGGCAAAACTCGGCTTTTCTAACAAACTTTCCAACATATCTGCATCATAAATTATAATCCTAATTTAAGAATGTAAACATTAAGAGACCAAGAAGTGGGAATAAAAACCAGAAAAGAGACTACATCTAATCAGATTCTCAGACAGAGCATTAAAAACCAAAAAAAAAAAAAAAAAAAGCTGCATGTACATCTGCTTGTCACCAAAAGTGGAGCCATTAAGATTCTCAATAGCGGCATTTGCAGATTCCTCAGTCTCAAATTGAACAAAGCCATGTCCTTTACTCTTCCCATCCTCAGAGGTCGCAACTTTGCAAGATATTATTGTCCCATATTTCTGAAACATCTCTTGCAGCCCCACATTATCAATCGAGTCAATCAAGTTCTGCCAGAATCCATGTTACATTGCTGTTAAAATTAGAGGGAAAAAAAAAACAGTGGAAGCTCAGTCTGATTTATATTTTGTTATAGTAAAAAGGGAACAGACCTTTACAAACACATTCCCTACTCCACTTCTTCTAGCATCAGGATCACGGCAAGACCATGAAATCCTCAACATTTTACCATTGACCTGAGTATGATTCTTTTCCTCAATAGCGCGAATTGCTACCGAAATTAAAAGAGAGAAAAATCAAATTAAGGAGGAATTATTTCAAAATTTGATATATATATATAATACATAGATCAGAAAACAGCAAGTGAAGGAGCGAACATGAAAACTAATTCCTCTGGTATAAACTTCATTGCAATGCCGGACACTACATACAATCCAGAACTAAAAGCACCAGAAATTTCCAACAATGTGTAATCTTATTGCTTCCTGTACATGCATCTCTAATTAACACATTTTCATTCAAACCTAGGTGTATAGAGCTAAATCAAGTAAATGACTTAATTTTCTTCCCATTAAAAGAATATGTAATGTATCATTCATTTCCTATCACAACAACCAAAAATATAACTGCAGCAAAATTGACAGAATAAATCAATCACAAAAAATCATAAAAATAAAAAAACAATTACATCATCTGCCAAAAACAAAATCATAATGCTAGCGTGGTTGCAAAATTCTGCAAGCTCACAAAACTTTCCTTTCTCTTCCTCAAGATTTTCCCACCATCCAAACAGCACCATAATTATTTTCGTTAGGTCGTCAAACCCCAAACAAACTTAGATCAAAACTAATAAGTAATAAATAAACAAAACCATGATCGAAGTACAAGCATTAGTACATTACTAATGTCCACGTTGCGCACAATAACAATAAAAATAAAATAAAAAAGTCTATAAAAACGAAAATAAATCAGAACTAAATATTAAACGAAATGAAGAAGCATTATAATATTATTAAAATTATGAATAATATTAAAATGAAAAAGAACGAAGAAAAATACCATCCTGTAGCGAGAGGAAGTTAACGTAACCGTAACACGTGGACCTGCCAGTACTGGAGTCTCTACAAATGCGCACGGAGGCGAGGCTCTTGAATTCAGAGAACGCTTCATAAAGTTGACCATCTGTGACGTCAGGGTGCAAATCACCAACATATAGTGACACCGGAGCCGCGGGTGTGACCGTCGATGGAACCGCCATTGGCCGATTATTAAAAAACAATAATAAATAAAAACACTAATAGAAAAAGGAAAAAAAAAAAAAAGAATAACACCACGAAAAACCACCGCAATTAGTAATAAATAATGGAAATGGTTTCAGAATTTCGCAGGCTTTAATAGATTGGGCTTATTGTTGGTAAAACTGAAGGTGAAATGAAAAGCGTTGAGTCGATGTGTGGATTTGTTAGGGAAGTTACAGAGGTTAAGGTAGTAAGTGATTAAATAGGAATAAGATCAAAACATATTTGAAGGAAAATTCTTTTAATTTGGTGTGAGTTGTTGTGTGGGGAGTTTTGCATGGACGCAAGGAGGTATAAGGATGCCAAAAGGCCTTCATTTACTTTCCACTCGCCCTCTTCAGCGCGTTTTTATTGATTTTACCTGCTTATCCGGTACTTTCTTTTCTTTTTCTTTTTTTTACTTGTTATGTATTTAAAAAAATTAAGTGGTTTAATTTTGAATGTATATCTAAGACAAATTAGGGTATTATTTATCAAGTTATTATAATTTACTTTAAACTTATTTGAAATTGGTTTTATTTGTTAATTAATAATTAGATTTATTAAAATGAAATTGGTTTAAATTATTGTGAATTCCTGCTTAAAGATTAGATTAAAATTCTATAACCAATGAATGTTAAACTTCCTTATTAAAATCAGATAAATGTATAAATGATGTTATAATTAGATATTCTTATTTCAAAATAATAATAAAAATGAAAAGGATATCACATTTAATCATGAGTCTATTAAACTAAAGTTATTTAAACATTTAAGTTATTGCTACAATTAACTCCCAAAGATCAAGATAGATGTTCAAAATTAATAAATTAAAATAATTAATTACTAAGAAAATAAAGGATTTATTTTTTGTGTATAAAAGTTTCTTAATATAATGTGCTAAACCGGTTAACGGTTAACGCATGAGAAAGGAAACGTGTGTGTGGTTTGAAGGGAGTTTGTTTAGTGAGGTGAATTGGCGCGTGCTGAATAATACGCACCTGCGGAAGGAAGAATAAGTGGGGCCGCGTGACCTAAAAGACTGTTTCAAAATTAACAAAATAACGCTTCACACTACTTTTTACTGCGATTTATCGGCGTCTTTTTACCGCCAGAACTTAACCGGATAGAATGCCTACTTTGACGGACACACGTGTCATTTTCTCCATCTGTTTTCACCTTCTTATTTACTTTCTGTTTTTATTCCTTTATTTATTATTTACTTTACTCAAAATTTTATTTTATTTTGCTTTGATGATTTATTAAGGATGAATTTATGTTTTAAAAAATATATATGATGAAGGGATGATTAAGGATATACATATATATGACGAACTATGCTGATTATTAAGAGTTGGTTTAAATTATATAAAAAAGATTCAAGTTTTATGTTCAGAAATCAGTTCAATATAAGAAGGATTATTTTTATATATTTATTGAGTTGATTTTTAGCATGCACTCGTTTATTCATTTTATGTAGGGATGATGACGAAAACCCCTGTAAGTTTCAACAAATGACATTGTGATTAATTATGTTTATTATTAATTTTTCTTAAGAAATTGGATTCGGTAAATTTGAAGATTGAGACATTGTGATTAATTATGCTTTATAATGTGTAGACTGTAAAATTTGGATTGGTAAAGTGGATGAAATTTTGTTTGAACAGTAAAAAAAATTTATGTTAGATTAAAAAATAACTTAAGAAATTTTATTTAAATAAAAAAGGAAACTGAAAAAAATTCAGTTTAGCATTTGACTGAAGGGCAAAAATGTCATTTCGTATCTTAACAAAAAAAAATTTGAACAGATGCTTAACGCAATGGGATTATGTTCTAATTTCTGACCAGAGTGAGGCTTCCTAATTCCTATCATTCGTTTGTTTAACACGTTGGTTTTCTATTATTGTCTCTTTTATCAATAAAGCTACGGACCAACGTGGTTTTTACACCGAAAATATATAATGGCCTATGTGTCTCCCTGAGTTACATTAACAATCCAGACATATGATTAAATAATAAATATTTTTCTAGTGAATTGTCGTCCATCAAATATGGACGGCCGTTCATTTACATGGACTCTCGTCCATATTATATAGACGGGGGGTCCATTTACTACAGACGGACATCTTCATTTAAAAGACGCATGTTCATAAGTAAAATAAAACAAATTTTTTTTATAAAAATTAAGAACAATCGTTCATCCGTTATGGACAACCGTCCCTTTATTTTGGACGGACGTCCGCAAATAAGAGACGTCCGTCCTTAACCAAAATATGAAAATAAAAAAAAAAAAACTTTGGAGACAGTCGTCCATAGATTTTGGATAGCCGTCCCTTATGTTTGGATGGACATTAGTAAGGAATGGACACCTATCTATTATTTTGGTTTTAAAACAAAAGAAAAACTTTGGACGGCCATCGACGGCCCTCCTTTAATTGTGGACGGCCGTCCTAAATGAATGGACGCCCGTCCATTCCTTCAACTTTTAAAAACAGCCAATTGGATCTCATTCGCTTTAACTGTGGACGGGTGTCCTAAATGAATGAGATCCAATTGGCTGGACTTTAACCTTTGCTCAAAAACTCAAAGCTTTCCATTTCCTTTCTATCCACTTTCAAGCCATTAAGCTCTCTCTCTCTCTCTCTCTCTCTCTCTCTTTGCGACATGGCTACAAAACCAGCTGAAGAAACTTCACAGCCACTGAAATACCAGGTGAGTTGTATCTTCTTAGTAATATTCAATTGTACAAAAACACTTCATGGCTTTCTCTCTTTAACTCAAATCTCTATTGTGTTTTACAGACATGGGTCTTGAAAGATTTTATTCACTGCGAAGGCTACAAGAAGAAAGTCAGCAAAGTTCTTAAAGGCATTGATGGTATAAGATATTTCTTCTACTCTCGTCTTTATTCGTGTTCATATATTTCGTTAAGTCATTATTAAATTTCTAGTATGTGTTCACTACATAAATCACTTCCTTATCTTTCAAGTGTCTATACCACCCTCGTAGATTCACAGCAATATAAGGTTACAGTGACTGGCAACGTTGACGCAGAGATTCTTATTAAAAAGCTCTTGAGATCAGGAAAACTCGCCGAGCTCTGGCCACAAATGCCTGAAACGAAGAAGGAGAAAAAACCCGAAAAGCCCAAGAAGAATGACAAACAAAAGAAAGCTAAAGATGGTCAGGAAATTCGTGGGGATGATGATGATAAACAGGATACACCTGAAAAAGCCATTTCCAGTGACAAGCCACAAGAAGGTGCTGACATAAACGGTGGTGAAAGCAAGGAGGAAACTGTTGCTGGTGGAGGTGGTGGTAGTGGTGGCAAGAAGAAGAAGAAGAAGAAAGGACAAACGGGTAATGGCGGTTTGACCTCTTCGGAACTGAATCTTTTGAGATTGCTGATGAGCTTGAGATACCAAAGTACTACTTTGTAGCCTCGCATGCATGGTTTCTCGCACTCACTGTATATACACCGATGCTGGATAAGTTGGTGAAAGGACAGTATGGTGATCAAACAGAACTGGAAACGGGAAAATTGCTTCTTTGGTTATAAATTGGATTCAAATGAGAAGCAAATGCTTCTAAAGGAGGTTAAATTATCAAAAGCGAAGAAGAAGCAAGCTGAACTGGAAATGGTAAAATAGCTTCTTTGGTTCATAGTTTTTCTTCTATTTTTAAAAGTTGAAGGAATGGATGGGCGTCCATTCATTTAGGACGCCCGTCCACGATTAAAGGACGGTCGTCCAAAGTTTTTCTTTTATTTTAAAACCAAAATAATGGACGGGCATCCATTTCAACGTAAGGGACGGCCGTCCCCAAAGTTTTTTTTTTTTTTTTTTTTTTTTTTGGTTAAGGACGGGGGCGTCCCTTATTTGCGGGCGCCCATCCAAAATGAAGGGACGGCCGTCCATAACGGATAAACGGTCATCTCTAATTTTTATAAAAAAAATTTATTCCATTTCACTTATGGACAGGCGTCCTTTAAATGGGGACGCCCGTCCATAGTAAATGGACCTCCGTCCATATAATATAGAAGGGAATCCATGTAAGTGAACGACCGTCCATATTTGATGGACGGCCGTTCACTAGAAAAATATTTATTGTTTAATCACGCGTCTTGATTGCTAGTGTGAGTCAGGGGGACACGTAGGTCGGTACACATTTTCGGTGCAAAAACCCGATATCCGTAGCTTTATTGCTCTTTTATATGTCATATCATTTTGTATTGAAGAGTGTATATGTAGTAATATTTTTTAATAATTTATATGGGCAAAAAATCATCTGCCTTATCAAGCCTAAGCACGAAACATCTATTATATGACCCAAAGTAATGGCCCATATCCAGTTGACCCTACATCAAGGTCCATGTTATGGGTCAACCCATATCACCAATCAATGGGATTCTCAAAATATTTAGGTCTTGTCATCAATTGGGCCTCATCGCCAGCCCGCTTGGACCCAGGCACATGATCTAGGATCATTCCAAGAACTCAAAGTTCTACTTAAAACCTACTTTATCCACTTCCTATTTTCATCTACATCCTAATTCATCTAAGATCATGAATCTTGCATAAAGTAGAACTCTTACTTCTACAAAGGCAAGTACATCAAGACCTTTTTATTTACTAGAACTCTACCATTATGGACTCAAAGTCCTATGAACACTATATAAAGAGAGGTCATGCCGGGGCATTTTATTAAAAGACCATTTTAACTAAAAATTTAATTAAAAGGCTATAGAGTTTGTAAATTTTAACTAAAGGCCTTATTTTTTATTAAGCTTAATTTAACATGATTAGGGGGTTAATTAGGATTAATGAATAATTGTGTAATCTTTTAAAAGTTATAATAAGTCTCCAAAGAGTCGAAAATCTTGCAAACAAACTCAAACACCTTCTTCTTCTTCCTCCCGCCACATTAACGCATTCCTCCGCCATTAACATCTTCTCCAACACAGATCCTCCTCCTCCTCCTCCTCCTCTTGAAATTTCGTCCAAGTATGTGTATCTCCCCTTTCGATTTACAAAGATTTAATGATGGATTGGGTTTGGGTTATGATTTTGATTTAGTTGTTTAGGTTGTTGGGTTGTGTTTGATGTAATGGAAGCTGAAAGGAGTGGAATTTGTTGAAAATTTTCTTGCATTGTGGGTAGCTGGGGGTGATAGCACTGATTGTAGGTGGAGATGACTGAAAACATATTCTGGATATGATGGATCGCTTAAGTGATCTGGTGTATCGCTTAAGCGATCTGGTACGTTTGGTAATGCAGCAGATAGATCGCTTAAGCGATCAGGTATGTGGCATAAGATCTCTTAAGCGATCTGCTAAAAGTCTGATGTATAGTAGCAGATCACTTAAGCAATCAGTAAATGGCATAATATCCCTTAAGCGATCATGCCTATTTACACTAGATCGCTTAAGCGATCCATTATATCGCTTACGCGATCATGCTTATTTACACTAGATCACTTAAGCGATCCAGTAAACGATATACCAGATCACTTAAGCGATACACCAAATATGTCAAGTGACTATGCAGATGCTTTTTCAAATATTTCAACCCTTAGTACATCAGTTAAGAATATTTTTTTTCTTGCATTATAGGTAGTTGCCTATTATTAGACATGGGACAAGTTGTTTTGGGTGTTGAATATTTTGGTGAGTGGGTGGAGGAAGAAAATAGGTGGAAATGGATTGGGAAGAGCAAAGAAGTTATACCAATTGCTGTGAGTACAGAGGTTAGTTGTGATGAGTTGATTGATGAAATAATTTGAAGAGGTGATTTGAGTTGCTCACGTAGTGATATAGTTGTGAAGTATGTTTTAAGCAGAGTTCCTGAACATTATAAGGTACCTCCTGCTATATTAAAGTCAGATGAAAGTGTGAAGTTATATATGATTGATGTAGCCGATAATGGTTCGAGGCCGATTTTAAGGGTTTCTTTTGTAGGAAAACCGTTGGAATTTGGTTCGAAGGAAGGGGATAACGAGGAAGTTGGCGGAGATTTCTTGGTTTTAATTTGAACTACGAGGGCATTGATTTGTTAGTTGAAAAATCAAGAGTAGACGGTGAATTGGGTGGTGAGGAGGACACTGTAGAAGAGGTTGGTCATGGGCAGTAGAATGAAAATGTTGAGGAGGAGGACCCCGTACATGTTCCCGCAGATGTAGAGATTCCTTTAAATAAAAATTATGCAAAAGGTGTAGTTTGTGAGGAAGAGAACACTATGGTCGTTTATGCAGGTTCAGAGGGGGCAACTGCAGGTGTTAGTGAATTAACTCATGTTTTTATGGATGGATCGGAGTTGCGCATAGGGTATTTATTTGACAACAAAGACGAAGTGGTGAGGAAGCTAAAACTTGTTGTGGTAAGAGGTAATTTTGAGTTCGTCACCAAAAAGTCAAATTCATTGGTTGTGACGGTTGCATGTCGTGACCGAAAGTTCAAGTGGCGGGTTTATTGTAGAAGGTTGGCAGAGTCCGAAAAATTTATTCTTAACACATATACCGGTGAGCACACATGTGGTTTGCGACATATTTCAGGTGAGCATCAACAAGCATCCACTGATGTTATTGGACAATTTGTCAAAAGTCAGTTCGTTGAAGGTAAAGGTCCATCTCCTAAAGAGATTCAGAGACTTGTGCGTACAGAGTTGGGATGTGTTGTTAGTTACTAGAAATGTTGGAAAGGGAGACAACGTGCACAAGATTTTGTGAGGGGCATGCCAGAGCACGGGTACGAAGTATTAGAAGCGTATCGTTATATGCTTGAGTTGACAAACGAAGGTAGCAAGACGGCTTTGAAGTGGGACAGGAATATGATGTTTAAATATTTTTTTGTTGCTTACGGTTCTGCTATAAGGGGTTTTGTAAACATGAGAAAGGTGTTGGCTGTTGATGGTTGCTTTTTTATGGGAAAGTATGGAGGTACATTGTTGGTGGCCGTTGCACAGGATAGCGAGAATCACACATATCCTCTTGCATGGTGTGTGGTTGACTCTGAGAACGACAAGTCATGGACTTGGTTTTTTCAGCAATTACGTACGATAGTGCTTGACATTGATAAGTTATGCATAATATTTGATAGGCACAACTTTATAAAAAAGGGGATTGCCACTATTTGCCCTCAAGCACATCACGGATTCTGTATGAGGCACCTTGGTGAGAACATAAAACAAAATTTTAAGTATGCTGGCCTTCTTCAGACATACTAAATGGCAACAAAAGCTTATTGGGTTGATGAGTTCGAGGAGCACTTCCAGCAAATCCGAATCAAGGATGATAGGGTTGCTAAGAATCTTAAGCATTATGTTGGTTTCGAGCGATGGAGTAGAGCTTACTTTCCTGGAAGAAGGTTTGATGTCATGACCACGAACATAGCCAAGTCCATTTATTCGAAGTTGCTAATAGAAAGAGAGTTTCCAATAATTTTACTACAACCCTTGTTCTGTCAACTGAAAAATTATTGCGAGAACGTATGAAACTGTCAAATGCACTGTTTGTCTATCCTCTTAATTCTCAAGAGTTCACTGTGCGCGGCTATGGTTCGGATGCCCTAGTTAACCTTGTTAGTAAAACTTGCAGCTGTAAAGTGCTTCACATTCAACGTTTACCTTGTCCTCATGCACTAGCAATACTGAAACACCAACGGAAGCCGGATTTCGGTTCAAGAATTTACATGAAACTTTGCTCCCCTCTGTATATGGCAAATCACTACATGCTAGCTTATTCAGAAACGATATATCCAGTGCCTCCAGAAGAGCAGTGGGTAGTGCCGCCAAAGTTGACTGACATTATCATCCATCCGCCATTCAAGAAGACAGCAAAGGGAAGAAAAAGAGTTAAGCGTATTCCATCAGCCTTTGAGGTTCCTCGAAAGATGAATAAGTGCTCAATTTTCAAGCAACCTGGCCACAAAAGAAGCAGTTGCCAGAAGTAATCACATGCAGATCCAAAAAACTAGGTTCGAAGAAGGATGAAATTCAGGGAGTTGCCAAGGCTAACCGTTGATGAGTTATTGTTTTAAATTATTGATGTTTTCAATTTTATTGTTACCTTAAATAAATAATTCTTTATATTTAGTGTTCTTGTTACACGGCCTAAATATGTGTTGGTTGGTGATTTTAGTTTGGAATTAGGTTGTCAAATTGAGGAGAAAGTATGAAATTAATATGTGTTGGTAATTTTAGTTTGTCAAAAATCAGGAGAAAAAATGGAAAAGTATGTATTGCCTAAGATATCACGGATCGCTTAGGCGATCATGCACCTGGACAGATATTGATTCTACCCATCACATGATCGCTTATGTGATCTACGATCGCTTAATCGATCAAGTGAAAAAGAGAAGAATCACGAATCGCTTAAGTGATCATGCACCTGGGAAAATATTAATTCTACCCATCACATGATCGCTTAAGCGATCTACGATTACTTA